GGCTGTGGCATCCTGGTACTGTTGATACTCGGCCACAAGGTCGTTCATGTTGCTTTCGGCTTCGGTAAATTCCATCTCATCCATTCCTTCTCCTGTGTACCAATGCAAGAAAGCTTTTCTCCTGAACATGGCCGTGAACTGTTCGCTCACCCGTCTAAACATCTCTTGAATCGAAGTCGAGTTACCAACAAAAGTGGATGCCATTGAGAGACCCTTTGGAGGAATGTCACAGACACTAGACTTAACATTGTTCGGGATCCATTCAACAAAGTATGATGAGTTTTTGTTCTGGATATTGATCATCTGTTCGTCCACTTCTTTAGTGCTCATTTTGCCACGGAACATTGCTGATGCGGTTAAGTAACGTCCGTGTCTTGGATCAGCAGCACACATCATGTTCTTCGCGTCCCACATTTGCTGGGTCAGTTCGGGTACTGACAAGGAACGGTATTGCTGCGAGCCACGGGATGTGAGTGGGGCGAAACCAACCATGAAGAAATGGAGACGCGGGAATGGGATCAGGTTGACCGCGAGCTTCCGGAGGTCAGAGTTAAGCTGACCAGGGAAACGAAGACAGCATGTGACACCGCTCATCGTGGCAGAGATCAGGTGGTTTAGATCTCCAACTGCAAATGACCAAAGCAGAAACAACTAAATTTTAAGACTACTTTTATCTTACAAGAAACGCAGCTAGAGGGAAGGAACAAGAAACGACTTACAAGTTGGAGTAGCTAGCTTGAGGGTACGGAAGCAGATATCGTAGAGAGCTTCATTGTCTAAAACCATACATTCGTCAGCGTTCTCGACAAGCTGGTGAACGGAGAGAGTAGCATTGTATGGCTCCACGACTGTATCAGAGACTTTAGGAGATGGGAAAACCGAAAACGTGAGCATCATACGATCTGGATACTCTTCCCTTATCTTTGAGATAAGAAGTGTTCCCATTCCAGACCCAGTTCCTCCACCCAAAGAGTGACAAACTTGAAACCCTATTCAACAAAATCACAGCTACATCTTCAAAAATCATGGAATTAAAAGGCAATAGATCTGTATGTTCTTCATCAAATCCTTAACATAATCACCAACATCAGATTCACTACTCTAGAGAATTCATTCTACTTGACAAAATCAAAAGGTAACGAAAGCGAAATTAAGCTCGATCGAGGAAGAAACATGAATACCTTGCAAGCAGTCACAATTCTCAGCTTCTTTCCTAACAACGTCGAGTACGGAATCGATCAATTCGGCTCCCTCTGTGTAATGACCTTTGGCCCAGTTGTTACCGGCGCCGGATTGGCCGAAGACGAAGTTATCTGGCCGGAAAATCTGTCCGAAAGGGCCAGATCTGATGGAATCCATCGTTCCAGGCTCTAGATCCATCAGAACGGCGCGTGGTACGTACCTTCCACCGCTTGCCTCGTTGAAATAGACGTTGATTCGCTCAAGCTGCAGATCAGCGTCGCCGTCGTATTTTCCCGTCGGATCAATCCCGTGCTCGTTGCAGATTACTTCCCAGAACTTAGCTCCGATTTGGTTGCCGCATTGACCACCCTGTATGTGAAGGATTTCTCTCATTTTCCCGGGAAATTTTCAAATGGAAACTGAGAGAAAACGAGAGAAATTTCTCGAGACGATGGAGAGAAAAAAGAAATTGTGCAGAATCCTTCGGAAGGGTACCGACTAAAATCCGGATAGTAGCTATTTATATACGAAAGGAAAAAAAACAAAGCTTTATATTTAGGGGTATTTTGGGAAATTAAAATTTGTTCATTATTGATTTTGTTTTTGGAAAACCATTTTTGGTTGTCGAGTATTGGAATGAGCTGTAATAGTGACTGTTCTATAGAATAAGGATAAGATAGATAGATTGCAATGTTAAATTTATTATTATATATAAATCAGTAGTTGTGATCTTGTCACACTTGGAAGTTGAAACTTAGACAAACTTAATTATTGGGTCTTTTTTAAGTAATATATTTAAGTCTTAACCATTTTAAAGTTAAATAAGCAATTATAGTTGTAGATGAAATGGTTATAATTTGTTGGTGATCACTTTGCCCTCTACTTCCATGGTTAGTTGAAAAACATTTTACATGCATGCCAATAAACGTCTTTAACAAATTTAAGAGTTTTATCTATCAACCTGCTTATTATGGTCGCTTATACCTATACATACACCAATGAATAATAATTATGCATGACATCATATTGTTGAAAATTATGATAAAAAAAAATCTCACGAACTAAAGCCATTGAACTAATTTTTTTTTTTTTAATAAATCATAGGAGTTCGGAATCTTTGATTCATAATTTATTTGGTAACCAGAATCGATCTTTACTCTTTAGATATTCCGATTTTAAGAATAACTTTCTCTAAATTAAAGAGGTTTTAACCCGGAACACAAAGAAAACTAATCTCTTTGAAATAGTGAATAGGAATGTGATAACAAAATTTTGATAGCACGACCAAATATTAGTATAAATAACGATACAAGAAATAACAATTGTACGTTGTCTCGGGGCCACCGTCTTGGTTGCAGATCTGTTTTTGGCTGATTGTAACATTGCTTCTGTTTAATGTTCTTCTTGTCCCTTGGCTTTTGACTGTCTTTGATTCTCCTTGTGGTAGCTAGTGAGCTCTCTTAGTTTAACCTTTTATAATTCAAATGATCAATATAATTTTCTACCAGTGAAAAAGAAAAAGAAAAAGGGACAGTGATGCCAAATGAGGTTGTTCACCAGTGTCCACATATTGGTTGTGATGAATGTACGTCATAAAAAGTCCGCATCAAAATCATTAAAAAAAAAAAAAGCATTACCAATTAATCATATCATATGATTAGTTTACTCAGCTGTAAATCAAAAGTTTGGTAGCGCCTAATCTCCAATTTTCAATATTTACTTAAGAAGATATCTTTAAGTTCTGATGATTAACCATAAATACTTTTATGAGAGATTTATAACCGTCGGTTTTCAATGATTTACGAAATAACTATTTTTAAGAAATAGACATATTTTTGTGGGAAAAAAATTAGTTTTGCACTAAT